GCTATAGGGCACACGCACTTGCCAGAGAGACAGAGAGAGACAGAGAGACAGAAAGCAAGAAATCACTCCCAGGGGGGATGGCCACACCACAATCCCTTCTCCTCCATTCTCCTCTCGGGATCTTGGGCACGCACGCACGCCCAGTGTGAGTTTAAGCCACTGGGTCCGGGACTCAAACCGCAGTTGGCTACATGGGAGTCCAGCAACATAGCCATTACACTAACTGCTGGTCCCCCATGGATTTCTTTATTTTCATTTTGGCACCAAAATAAATTCTTTCTTTTAAAAAAAGAATTATTTATTTAGTTTTATTTATTATTACTGTTTTTAACTTTGCCATAAGACACATGCATTCATAAGACAGAGAGGGAGAGAGAAAAAGGAAAGTGAGAAAGCAAGCCACTAGGCCCAGGACTCAAACCACAGTAAGTCACGTGGCAGTCCAGCACCTTAACCACCACGCCACCTGCACCCCCCCAAAGTAAATGCATACTGCACTTCTACTTTCCATGAACTTTTGAAGTCCCCTTATGTATGCATGCACGCACACGCACACACATCTCTCCCCGGTCGTTTCCCAGACACCCCCAGGCAGGCCAGCAGCATGAGCACAACTGGGCCTTGTCAGAAACGCAAACTTCTCAAGACACGCTCTAGACCTTCAGAACCCAACTCCAGGCGTGAGCTCCAGGAACCTGGGTTTTCACAAACCCTCCGACACTCCTCTGACCCACCCACACGAGATCGTCCTGGGCTTTGAATAGAGATTCTTCCGCCCTGTGAAGCATTTCTCCAGGAGCTGAAGGGAGACCTGACGCACCTCCTGGGGGACCTGATGAGGTCGAGAAGACATGGGGCTGCCGTGCGGGCATAGGCAGACGCCCGCCACGCAGCAATACGAGGTGAGACACTTGCATGTGAAACACATGACATGCTCCAGTGATCTGAAGTATGCGATAACCACGACCATGCTTTTCAGTTTGCAGCTATTTCTCCATTAAGAGAACTCACCAGTGGGGCACCACCCTGAGTGCTTAAATGTTACCGTAAGTAGAAGGCACTTTTACTTGGTTTTACTCTTTTAGTATCTGAAAAGCAGACCAGCTGGTACTCTCTATCTCTGATGGGTCGATGGACAAAGATGCTGATGCCCCAGGGGACAAGCCCTGAGAGTAGCCCTTCCAGGTCAGGGCTTGGAGCTCACTGTACAAAGCTGGGAACTGACAGGGATACCCAGCTTCTGCTCATGACACGCTCACAAGGTGAGTGACAGAGCAGTCAGATTTAAACTACAGAAAGGAAGCTGAGAGGGAGAACCAGATAAGGCAAGCTTCTAGATACTTCTTCTGAATGCGATTCCAATAGAAAAGAGAGACTGCAGGGTTAAAGGGTTGATTCTAGGACTTGCTGTTCCAATTATCGCCAAAGCACCGCACAGAATTGATTTTCCCGGCATTCTCTACAAGGCCGTCAAAGCACTAGAAGAACTGCCCACTTCCCAGCACAGCACCCCAAATAGAGACCATTTTCTTCTGTGTGCCTTTTTGGTTTTGATTTTATTTTAAAATCACAGCATTATTTGTTTATTTATTTCGCTGTAGGGCATGTGTGCTCACCAGAGAAAGAGGAAGAGAGAGAGCGAATGAGAAATTGAGAACTCACTCCCCCCCCAGGGGATGGCCACACTGCAATCCCTTCTCTATCCTCCTCTCAGGACCTTGGGTGCACATACACACGTGCCTGGCATGTTTTTCCAGCTGCTGGGTCCTAGACTCAGTAAGTTAGCCATGTGGGATCCAATCCCCCTTAACCTCCACCATTGGGTGGTCAGATTTTTATAGGCACAGATTGTAACAGTGTAGATAAAAGGTAAACAGACTTTGAAATACCTCATGGTGATTCCATACAGGTAGTCATTCTGTCATTCTTAAAGTCTGACTTTCTCCTGAAAGTTTCTACATCTGTAAAATCATACATATAACCTTTAACCACATACAAAGGTTATACCCTTCCTACTGCTCTGCAACTTGCTTTGGTTTAATTTAGTATATTTGGGAGTTTTTTCATCAAAGCGTATTTTGATCTCTCTCTCTCTCTCTCTCTCTCTCTCTCTCTTTAATTTACCAGATAGGGCCAATAGCTGACATGGTCATTAAGGCACTGAACTCCCACATGGCCAACTGCAGCTCGAGTCCCAGACCTAGTGGCTTGAAAATCATGCCAGGCATGTATGTGTGTACGCCCAAAATCTCAAGAGGAGACTGGAGGAGAAGGGATTGTGGCAGTATTGCCATTCCCCTGGGGATTTCTCACTTTCCTTCTCACTGTCTCTCTCTCTTTGTGGTGTGCCCTAGGGCAAAAACATTTAAAAAAAAATATTTACCCAAAGAGCACATGCCAGAGAGAGAGAGGGAAAAGACACCTTCTAGGGAAGCATGGTGACATCATAATCCCTTTTCCTCCATTTCTCCATTCTGACAGTATTTCAGGCACACATGCACATATGTTTTTCAAGCCACCAGGACTAGGATTCAAATCACATAGTTGGCTGTGTGGGATCCAGAACTCTTAACCCCTAAACCACTAGACCAAGAGTGAGGCTGGTTTGTACTTCCTTTTTCTGTAGGCTTCCACAGTATTCCACCATCTTTTTTTTTTTTTTTTGGAGGGTTTTTTGCTATAGGGTGCATGCACTCTCCAAAAAGAAAGAAAGAGCCAGAAAGCGAGAAATCACACCCCAGGGGGGTGGCCACGCCGCAATCCCTTCTCCTCCATTCTCCTCTCGGGATAAAGCGAGAAATCACACCCCAGGGGGGTGGCCACGCCGCAATCCCTTCTCCTCCATTCTCCTCTCGGGATCTTGGGCACGCATGCACACATGCCTGGCATGAGTTTAAGCCACCAGGTCAGGGACTCGAACCACGGTCGACTACATGGGAGCCCAGTGACATAGCCGTTACTGCTGATCCCAGTATTCCACCATCTTTAACCATCTATCTCCTAACCAAGACATTCTTCTCTCGTTCTTTTTTGCCTACAAACAGCACTGTAACAAATGTGCTTCTCCACCTCTCCGAGCTCTTTTATCAGCATATGCAGATGATATCCCCCAAAGGAGTGTCCGCTGATCATCGTGTGCTTTTAAGACATCTTACGTACTCTGCCATGTTACCCTCCAAAGGACGGCACCAACATGTGTTCCCCGACCTGCTGTCTCACCCCGAGTGGGGTGGCTTTCAAAGCAGGTTGAGTACAGAGACACAGGTCACACCCTTTACAACAACCAGGAAAGATATCCAGTGCGGGCATGTGGCAGACACTCAAGAGTCACCCATTTCAAAGCCACCTGCTTAGCCCATGACACATGAAAACAGACCCAAACAGCCATTCTAACACTTGTTACTGCACAGAGAATGAGGAGGAGTCCAAGTCTGGTTCATTTCTAACTGGGTGGGTTCATGTGCGCACATGTATGCGTGAGAGAGAGGAGGGGGGAAGAGAGCACCCGCGTGGGGCCTGCTCAGGCCGTGACCCTAACCCTCCACTCTGCCCACCCTGCCAGGACCCTGGCCTGGCACAGCTTGCGTGCTGCGCTGGAGCAGGGATGTAGCTGCAGTCAGCAATGTGGGACCGTGTCCCTGCACTGGACAGCCCCAACTGCAGCAATATTTATGCCTTTAATGTGCATCATTCAGAAAGTTCATAAAAATGGAATTAAACAGCCAGTTTATTTTGGTGCCAAAAAAGCTTGAAATCCATACATAGTTTTGTTTTGTTTTGTTTTAAATTTGCCAAAGGGCACATGTATTCACCAGGGAGAGAGAGGAAAGTGAGAAAGCCCTCGGCATGGCGGAGGGTCACACTGCAATCTCCTCCACTTCTCTCTCCTGCCAGGGCTCTGAGCACACACAAATGTATGCCTGCTGTGTTTCCCGTTGCCAGGTCCAGAACTTGAATGGCACAGGCTGCCACGTGCAATCCAGCTGCCTAAAGTGTCATACCACAGACTAACCCGTAGTTTTTATAACATGCATTCCCATGAGCTTTTGAAGTCCCCTCATCTGCTCCACCCAGTGCTTCCGTATTTGCCCTGTTCTTACTAACTCCCCTGCGAAACCGAGGTGCAGAGAGGTGAGGTGCCCTTCCCAAGACTATGCCGAGGGCAGTGGCAGACTAGGGTGTGAGCCCACTCAGACCGGCTCTGCAGCTCTCACTGCGACCGTCTGCTCCTCCATGGCCACTGCCCCACCCTGCCCCTTCCCAGACTGTCCCGTTGCTGCCACTTCTTCACAGAGAAGCCTGCCATCACTCGGGTGTAGCCGAGGCGTGGGAGCTAAAGCACTTGCCTGGGTAAAGGTGAAATGCTGCTCTGTCGGGTTCCCAAGCCCGAGGTCACACAGGGTGTGCTCAGGAGAAAGGCCGGGCTACTGAGTGGCTGGAGGGGCAGCACCTCCCGTGCTTTAGTAAGCTGGCCAGGCCCAGGGCAGCCATGTGGCACGGCCATAAAACGGTACACCACAGGGCTTTACGCTGAGGACCCGCCCGCTGGTCCCCACAGCCAGGAAGGCCTTTTCTAGACGCAGAACGGGCTCTGAGGCTGGCAGAGACACTCATAAGGGACAAGGTTGGTGCCCAGTCACACCGAACTGTCACACACAAGTCAGCCGCTGCTTTCTCAAAGGTCACTTGGGCCATTACCCAGGGCACTGGCTTGTCGCCAGCCACCCCTTCAGCCCACAATGAATCAGGGAGGGAATCCATATTAACCCAGAATTGGCGTTTCTGTTCTTCCATCAGGGTAGAAAAACAAAGTATACCATAACCAAGCCTGTCCCCTACATCCTCCAGGAAAATGAGAACCATGTGTCCCTGTCACCCAGCACCCAGTCGGTCTCTCCAGGCCAAGCACAATGCCGGTGACTGCCAAGAGCAACCCACCCCCACAACTCCATGGGGAACTGGCACCTGGGGGTCTGCTCCCCGCAGTGCCCACATCCCGCCTCCCTGAGCATTCCTACCTACAGTCTGTATGCACTCCGTCTCAACCTCTGCTAAGGGATAAAGCAGAGTTAGCACATGCAAATGCCCTTGGAATTGACAGGGAAAGAAAAGCCAGCCAGGTGGGGCCCAGGAAGGCGGCAGGAGAGACTCACCAGGTGGCCTCGACTGCTGCTGGTGCATTACGTGTTCAAGGGGAGGGAGATGTCACACCCTTAGGCCTGTCTGTGGGGCTTCTGCCCAGCTCTGAGCTTTGGGGAGCCCCTCTCTGGCCTCCTCTGACTACACCAGGGCTATGTCCCTCCACTCTCCACAGCAGGTCCCCTTTTAAGACCAACTCTGGGTACCTGCACGTTGGAATTATCTGCCCAAAAGGCCTTAAGAGAGACCCAGGTCTGCACCCCATTCCAGGTTTGCCAACACAGTAGGAATTCCAATAGTTTTAGTGTAAATACGTCCCAGACACTGCATTACCCACCGTTTATAAGAAATTCAGATAGGACTCTGCACCCTCACCCACTCCCCAGATTTGTTGTCTTAAGAGAGAACCCACTGGGGCTGGCGGTGGCTACTGCAGACAGGGCAGGGAGGTTCAAGCGCAGGACTGCACTGTCCTTGCACATTCTGGATGGCACTGAGGGTGGGCGGGTAGGGAGGGCTGGCCTGCAGGCCAAAGGTTTAGACCAGCTCTTCTTAGACGGGCAGGCCTGGAATGGGAAATGCAATCAGTAAGCATACCTCATGGGTTTTAAATATCTGACTAAAATTTAAGCAATTCCAAATTCCTTCAAAACCCCACAGGCCAAATGATACACCGGGTTCGTTCCAGTCTGAGGGGATGCTGCGGGTGCTAACGGCTGTGCCCTTTCTGCAGACTACACCCACACTGGAGCAAGGCCGGTGGCACATGAAGCCTCAACCCCAGTGGCAGAAGCAGAGCAGGGAGCACAGCTCAGCACGAGTGTGTGCGGAGGCCAGACGAGGAGGAAGCCGAGTATGAGGGGAGCTGAGGCCGCAGAGTGAGAGTGAAGGGAGGTAGCTCGGGGTTTGCTCTAGATTCCTCGTCTTTCAGGAAATGAAACGGAGCTGTGCTCACAGGAGTCCGTGACTTTCCCAAACCCAAGTCCACGGGGTCTTGGCCTCTCCCCTGTATCGCATGGCTTCTTGTGCTCTGGAATAAGGAATGCTGTACCCCCAGGACTTACGGGTAACAGCAAACGCGCTTAAACCCTGTGTTGAAAAAAAGGGAAGGAGGAGAGAGAAAGAAAATAGAAAATCTCTCCCCGCCTTCTCTACTTCCAGAAAGTAAGAAGAAAACAAACCCCTTCAACACAGACGTACCCCAGGCGAGAGGGCAGAAGATCCTGTGGGCGGCTGGCCCAGCGGCTCTTGCTCCTTTGTAGTGAGGTACTGAGCAGAGCCCCGGAGAACCTTCCTGCACTCTCCCAGTCCTGGGCCACCTCCAGCACCCACTGTCTAGGTCACCCCTCTTCTCCAGGAGGCTCCAGAGCTGAGGAAGAAGGCAGAGCACTGAGGGCAGCAGGAGGCCGCTCCGCGTGAGACTGACCTGGACGGGGTAGAACACCGCCTGCAGGGTGGGGAGAGTCTCAGTGAAGAAGTGATCCCAGACTTCCGCCAGAACCTTGATGCGGTTCTCACCTACAGGAGGGCGAGGAGATAGGAGGGGAGGGAAAAGAGCTGGTTGTTACTTGTGGGAGAGGCCAGAAGTCAGCCCCACATGACGTCGACTGGCCCTGCTGGTGAGCTTGCTGCTGGGAGCTGCTGACGCCAGGGGCAGGACCACGGCACACAGGGTCATGGCTCTTGCTAAGGCCACCGGGAATCTTCAGGGCAGAAATTCCTGCGATCTCGTGAAGTGCCCAGGTTGCTCTAAATGCACCCTTCATTGGCCAGACCCTAAACGTGCCAGGAGGAGCAGGTTAGGGCAGGCAGAGGGGAGCCCAGACCTACACCAGGCAGCAGACACGAGATGGGGTGGGAGACTCGGCCAAAAACGGGCCATGGAAAGGAGCCGGCCTTTCACGAATGTATAATAATGACCCTTAAATGAATGGGTCCATCACTGCACACTGTGCTGAACTGCTCGTCCCATCCATCTCAGGAGCAGGCTCTATTTGCCTGTTTTATAGGCTCAGAGAAGGCAAGTAAGTGGCTTAAGGTCACACAGCCAGAGGCAGAGCCAAGATTCCAGAAGTCAGACTCCTGGCCTTCTTAACCCAGGAAGACCATTTGCACAGTTATATACGATTTGGTTTCCTATCTTATTCTGGTCTGAGCTGTCAGATGAGAGGTGTAAAATGGGACCTAGAAGCGTCCACCTCCATGCTCTGCTTTACGGTGACCGGAAGGACAGCACCCCGACACTGCCCCTCACCCTAGAATCTGAGCGGTGGTCAAGTGCCATCCCCAGGCCAGGGCACCTGGGTCACCCTGTGCTCCTGGAAGTCTGTGAAAGTGACGGGGCCCTGGTGGAGGGGACTCTGCAGCAGCCGCCACATGGCGGCTGCAATACCAGAGCTGAGTGAACACCGTCTTTGCTCATCCCAGGCAGGGAAACTGAGTCCGCCGAGGTCAGACACTGAGAGACGTGAGTGGCCACTGCCAGTGCCGCTGAGAGACCTTGAAGGTCCACACAGTGCCGCCTATGAACTCAGTGGACAATAAAAGCAGAGAAAACAGAAAGGGCTTGGCGAGTAGCCCTCAGGCCCAAAGGTGTGCAGATTTTAAAAGGTCAGAGTGAGGCACACAGGAGCTGTGAACCGGCAGCACCCTCTGCTTTCCCTCATGGAGAACTGACCACACCCTGTCTCTGTCTCCCCCACGAGGGCAGCAGTGAGGCCCAGGCTGTGTCTGTCCTGCTTGCCACACACCTCCAGTGGTGCCAGAGTCACTGATAGATCAATTAAAGGCCTTCAAATGAAAGAATGGGCCCAGGGAGGAGAACCATTTAACCCAATATGAGGCGGCATGAAGCAGCCTAAGTAGCTACAGCAAATTCTCTCCTTTGCTCTCAAGATGAAGACACCCTCCCCACATGGCCACACCCTGGGGACCCGCCTCCCCATCTGTGGCTCTCCCCCTCCTGCTCCCCTCGGCCCTGGGTTCTCACCGTGCCATGTCACTCCCTCTCCTTACCACGTGCCTCGTGCCAGGGGCTTTGATGCACTCGCCCCTCTGCTTAGACTGGTCTTCCTCACTCCTGGCCCAACTTGCTTCAGCACATCTTCCTAATTTCAGGTCAGACTTCACTTCCATAGGAACGCCTACCGCCTGGTCAAATCCCCTGCTATGGACTGTATTCTCAGTACTGTCCTGTTCACAGTTCTACATCTGGCAATTGGTGGTTTGATTAGCAACTGTCCCCACTAGCAGGTGCATGAGCCCCCTAACCCTGTGACAGTCCGTCCACCCCGGTGCCCTCAGCACCTAGCAGAGTACCTGGCACACAGAAGGTGGTCAATTGACACCCGACTGAACCAATCACTGTCATCCTCTTTTGAATGGCGATGGAACCTCATTGCAGAGAGCAGGCATGGAAGTCAAAAGGCCCCTCTGAAATGTCACGTACCCCAGTTCCTAACGCCAAGGTGAGCTCCAGTAATGCACAGTGTACTCCTAAGGAGACAGCCTGCTCCAGCTCCCTGGGGATGCCCTACACCCACCAAAAAGACAACCAGAAGCTCCCTCCCCCCCAACCTGAAGGAAGGGAAGAAGAGAGCCTGCAGCTCCCTTCGACGCTGGGATGGAAAGCTCATGGGTACACAGGGAAACCCTCCCACCCACAGCACCAAGGTGCCTCTTGGGAGCCTGGGTCCAATCGCTGGTTGCAAGTTTTGCAGAGTAATGAGGGTCTGGGAAGTATTTAGAGAACGTCAGACAGAGACAGCCAATAACGCAGGGGAGGCCCGGGGAAAAGGGTTAATGCAAACAGCCCACAGTCCAGGACGGCGCAGGTCCGAATGGAAGGTGGCAAATGGCTGCCCTGTGAGACGTGCCCGCTAATGCATCAGGAACTGAGACTGCCAAGTGCATAACGGGTCTTCAAAAGTTCAAGGAAAACGCAGGCCGCAGAACAACTAGTCACGGATGTCAACGTTTCTGCACCAAAATTAACTAGTACTTTAATTCCATTTTCTACAAACTGTATCAGGTAAGTATAAGAGACTTCCTAAGAATCCAGGTTGCTAAAGCCTCAGCAAAGTTTCCTGAAGTAACAAGGCATCTCCTGTTCGTGGGGAAGGTGTGGTGCTGAGCTGTCCCTGCCCTCCGTAGCCAGGAACCAGAGGTGTCTGCACACACGTTGGGGCAGTAGTCTGCTCGGCAGTGACTCAGTTTTATCGGCTGCTTCCCACGTTTCATTCATAGATAGAGAATCTTTTCACCCCCACAAAAACCTTCCTGGGACCAGCAGTTAGTGTAATGGCTATGTCGCTGGACTCTCACGTAGTCGACCGCAGTTCGAGTCCCAGACCCGGTGGCTTAAACTCACGTCGGGTGTGTGCGCCCAAGATCCCGAGAGGAGAATGGAGGAGAAGGGATTGCGGCGTGGCCATTCCCCCTGGGGGGGGATTTATCACTTTCTGCCTCTCTGTCTCTCTCTGTCTGTCTGGTGAGCACACGCGCCCTATAGCAAAATCCTCTAAAAAAAAAAAAAAAACCTTTGTTGGAGTTCCAATACATAAAAAAGTAGTGATGTTCTGTTAAAGATGGGAAAGTCCCTCAAAGGACCCTCAGTGCCTGTTCACTGAGCAGAAAGGGCCCCCATACCCAGAGCACTTGGATGAGAGGAGGCCCAGCGGGAAGGCCCTGCCCGTTGCCCTCAGGCCACGGTCTGGGCAGGGCACGGCTCACTGGATGCTCTCCTTGGTCTAGCCCCAGCTCTGCTCTCTGAATGTGTCTACACTGACAGTCACTCGGGGAGAGACATTTGCCTCCCCTGTAAGGGCACTTGGTCAGGACCCTTATCACAGGGTTGGTTTTCCACACCACAAGCCTGTAACCACTGCGTGGATGACTGACAGGTCAACCACGGAGCAGGGGTGCGGTTTATTCTCCCCCCCTTCTAGTAGAACCATCCATATTGCATGATGGAACTTTAAAGGTTTGTGGGAAATGCAATGCAAGTGCATTTTGGTGCAAAAAATATTTGAGATTCGTGCATAGCTTTTCCACACTACGTATTTCCCATGAACTATTTGAACACCTCTTGTACCCCAGACTGAATCTAAAACATAAAAGACTCACTAAGTTCCTGCTCAAAAAAAGTCACCTAAAAGTATGGCCCTTCTGTCAACAGGAAAGGACACAGAAAACACGGTCTGTACTAGGCGGGATGTCATTCAGCCTTTGACAAGGGAGGGGCCTACCACAGGCTGTAACATGGATAAACTTGGAGGAAATAAATGTTGAGTGAAATAAATAAATAATCAAAAAAGGACAAATAAAATGTAGCACATCAGCTGTCAGGGGATGGGAGGATGGGGAATTGCTGTGGTGGGTACCGAGTTTCGGTTCTGCACAGTAAAGCATCCTGGAATGCATTACACGGCGCAGTGAGTACAGGTAGCTCTGCCAGAGCGCACAGAGGCCAAGGAGATACGTCCTATGTGATACTTTTCCTTTTTACCTCAATTTTTAGAAAAGCCTTTTTTTATAAAAAGACATTGGATTAGCAGATATTTATAAGGTTGAGCAAAGTCCCTGCAGAGCTGTACTCTAGGGAGACGGCACCGGCTATCAGCCTTCAGATGTACAGAGGCTGACATCTGATTCTAGTCTCTCCGTTGGCGTGTGCCGACTGTATACCAGGCATGGAAACGCCCAGCGTCATTTCTACCTCCTCTGTCTTCCTGCTTTGTCTTTCTAGGAGACACTTTACTGGACACTAGTCTATTCACCAGAGACTTTGAAAAAAGGAAGTGTTGATATGCCTAACAAGCTGGGTCTGGACATGGGTTTGATCTACAGGCAGCGCCCAGGGGTACATACCCACCACTCTGGGAGTGGTGTCTGCCAGGTGTCCCCTCACTGCATTCCATCACTTCAAAATGATACAAATGGGAACTCAGAGGAACTAGAAATTCGCCACAAGTCATGCAAGAAATAGATGGCAGGCTAAGGTCAGGTCCCAGCCCTCGGGAGACTCTCAGGGCTGGCCGAACCCTGCCATCACACCCATCTCCATTCAGTTCCTCTCTGGCCTGTCACTTGGACTCTCACGTCGCATGGGGCCAGGTAAGGGGCATCTCCCTTTATCTGTGACTCGCACCCTTTAATTAAGTGCCTGCCCCGCTCATGTCCCCCACACAGACTGGCCTCTGTGACCTCCAAAGTATTACAAAGGGTCATAGGGAATGACACAGGGCAGACCAGAGGGGAGTACAGCAGGGCATGCAGGGTAACATCCCTTCGAAGGAGAACACAGGGACGTGGCCAGCAAAAATCTCCCCTTCCTGACATCTCCAAAAGAAAAACCCTGAACCCACATAACTTTGCAAAACCCTTTTCTGACTTGCACTCTGTGAGTGGTAAGCTCAAGCTCACTGCCTAGTTGGGGAAGAGACCGACAGGGCACCACCTGCCAGAGCCTGCCAGGCTGGGGCAGGGCATCGGCCAGCATCAGAGGCCACTCCGCTGGCTGCCCATACTTGCCTTCACACAGCTTGATCTTCTCCTCAACAAAGAGCAGTCCTTTTGCAAGAAGCTGGTTCTGCCAAAAGAGAATAAGAACAAAGAATTCAGCTCCTTGGCGTGCCAAACCCTCTTCCTCTTCCATGTCGATGGGCAAAGGCACCGGGTTCTAGACACTTCTGTGCTGATCACATCTCCACATTTGTGCTCACAGGAGGCCGGGGCCCCGAGTGCACACAACGAGACCATCATAGCAAAAGACTGAGCAAGACCCCAGCCTCAGATCAGGGAAGAGACACGACACAAATGAGGCTGCAATCACTGAGCCGACCCAACGCTGGAGGCCCTCCATGAGCTAAGCTCACCAGACAGAGCACAGAGGAAGTGGAGATTACGCAGAAGTAACGTACTTTAAAGTAAAGATGAATCTAGGGCTGCTCACAACAGCACAGACTACATGTGGGCCTTCCATAGCAGAGTGTGTCCCTGGGAGAGCGCGTGCATAGAAAGCAGTGGAGAGACCTTCTCCTACACAAAGGGACTTCAGAAGGTTTTTGGAAAAAGTAGAATTATGAGTTTATTTTGGCATAAAAAAATTAAATGCGTGTAGTTTTCATAATACGGTGCTCCGTGAAGCTATTGAAGACCCACGTATCATGGGCTTCGTGCCCTTCATCTCATTTAACCCAGTCCATCAGGCAGCGCTATTGCCCTCTCTGCAGTGTTGGCCACCGCAGACCCTGGCCACCTCTGGCTCCGAAGCCACGCCCTTTCCACACCTCTCACGGCCTTCCACCCAGTCTTCCCAGCCAGACCCCACCCTCCCTGGACACTGCCTCTCCGCATGTCACAGCTCTTCCCTTATTAGACTACGACGGGCCTAGTTCTGTGGGAGGCAGACAGGCCGAGGTGGCACTGACCTCGTGAAAGCCCGAGTGAGTGCCGTGACATTCTCCTTTATAAAGCCCCAGAGCCCTCTAACCGTGAGGGAACACGCGTGCAGAGCAGAGCAGAAAGAACTCAGACATCAGACATGCATTTACCCTGGCTGTGAGACTTTATACTTAATTTCCCTGAGCGTCAAATTCCTCATCTGTAAAATGGCATAATTACAGGAATATCATCAAGTTCTTGGAAGACTTGGTCATTGTAGCCACATACACGTGTGCATATATGCACATGCACACACACATGCACACATGGTATCTCATGTCCTCGGAGTCAGTGCTGGTGAGGAAGCGGCTGCTTGTTGGCCACCTTCTTCACAGAGGAGAAAGCAGTAAAGAGCTGGTAATTACTAGGCCTTTATCAAAAGTATAAATAAAAAGTTGGCATTCATCAAATCTATAGTTCTTACTAAGATTCACTAAACATTAATTCTAAAAAGTAATGGTGACCTTTTAGTTTCAAGATGGCAAATGGAGCCCCTAATCACAGAGGGACACAGTATATGAGTACACAACTCTGTTAAAGAAAACAAAGCCAGTTCCATCATGAATAGTCACAGGACAGAGAAGCCCTGTCACCACCTCCCAGACATCAAATCCCGGCATCTGGGTCAGAAAGCAAGAAAGCGGTTCACCAAACTCAGACACGAGATGGCGAGGGGACACGAATGGCCTGGGAGGGGCATCCAGAGGCCCCAATGCCCTGCCCTGGTCCTCTCACCTCCTCCGGGCGAGGCTCACCCTGTGCAAGGCTCTGGCAGGCCGTGCTCACCTCCTCCAAGTCAAGCTGCCATCCCACACTTCTAGAACGTCCCGACCCTTCTTGTTTCCTGTTTCCGAGATGCACCTCCAATGAAAGGCTCCTTCTACGATGTACTTTTAATGTTTTATTCTATCACTGCACTTACTACATTTTAGGGAGAGCACAGGAAAACTGAGACACAGAAAAGTAAAAACCCTGGGGCCAGCAGGTAGCGTGGAGGCTAAGGCCCTGGATCCCACACGACCGGCAGATGGCTCAACCTCAGACCTGGCCACTTAAAAGATCACGCCAGGCATGTCTGCCCACGTGTCCAAAATCATGAGAGGACACTAGAGAAGGACTGTGGTGTAGCCATCCCCCAGGGAGTGATTTGTCACTTTCCCTCTGTTTCTCTCCCCTTCTCTCCCTCTCTCTCCGGTCAGTGCACATACCCTAAAGCAAACAAACTGAAACACACACACACACAAAAAACAGAATCTTGTCCAGATTATACCATGAGTTGAAAAATAGAATTCAAACCATTTACCTATTAGGATTTCAGGTCTTGGGGACAGGATCATTTCTTATTTTAATTCCCCTGGTTCCTAGCACACTCTCATAGCAGGTGCTTAATATGTATCTGCTGACTGTAGAAGTGCCTCTTTTGGTGGTAAAAATCATTTTTTTATTTTTAAAGTTTATTTTTTCCATGAGAGAGACAGGGAAAGACAAAGAGAGACATAGAAAGAGATGGGTTCTTCCGAGGTCTTCACCCTGTGACCCACTCTCAGCTCCAGCTAGCATGAATGGGGAGGCCTTGGACACGGACCTAGGGCCTTCTCTGTGTGTCCAGCGTCGCAGGATGTGGGTTATTGCTGGACTGCCAAGTGGCTCCCATTCTGTTTTTTTTTTTTAGGTTTTTTATATAGGGTGCATGTGCTCACTGGAGAGAGAGAGAAACAGAGAGACAGAGAGACAGAAAGTGAGAAATCACCCCCTGGGGGGATGGCCACCTCACAAGACCTCTCCTCCATTCTCCTCTCAGGGTTTTAGGCACACATGCACATGTACCTGGGCTAAGTTTCAGGCCACTGGGTCTGCAACTTGAACCACAGTTGGCCACGTGGGAGTCCAGCATCTTAACTACCACACACCTGCTGGCCCCAATAAGAGAATATCTTTAAAAATGGGAAAGTCACATAGGGTCCCTAAATATCTTGCTATTTTATTCATTTGATAAAAATTACTTTGCTGTACCTTAAGGAACAAGCTTCAAAAGATGGCCTAGATTCCTCTTCCTTCCCCTTTCCAGATCTTCCTCCTTCTAGGAGACATAAAAAAACATTCTTTCTACGTATTTACAAAGAGAAAGAGTCATCCCCGTTACGGAGAAATGACACAAAGAAGTCGCTCTCTCATAGATGCTCATGCTGACACACACCGCCCTGTGCCGCATCGACCGAGACGGGAGAGACAGCAGCTCGGGGTCAGAGGGTACCCTCTCCTTCACCACCCTGGGTCAGAGTTGATTGTCGCGCAGTTTCCAGGGCACTTGGACAGACCCATTTCCAAGAAGCTAAAACATCTCTGGAAGCATCTTGACCATTGTTACAGCCCTGGAGGTCTGTGGGGTTTGCCTTTTTCTTACAGTTGGATAAACTTAGACCAGAAGGAGGGTTGCCCTCCCCAAATTCCAGCAGGACACGGGGTGTGGGTGTGGCTCAGGCTCTGCTCCTGCATTAGGCCAAGGGCCTTGGGGTCAGCCTAGCCCTGCCCCTTCTCTGGAGAAGTGCCACCTTCTACCCACAGGCTGTGCCCCATCCTCACTACATGACAGCATAGCCACACCTCCGGATAGCCACCATCCTGCTCTGGTCCCTGGGTCTCCTCTCTCCTAATACCCTGCCCCACAGAGGCCTGCCCGAGAGCCTTGCACTCAGCTTCACTCTGCAGCTGCTTCTCAGCTCTGAGTGTCTGACCATGTTTTGTCAGTGACTGACGGACAGGGTGAGGGCTCAGAGCCCCAGCTCACTCCAGGCCAGTCTCCTACACCTCCCACTCGAGCACTGGCTCCTCACCCCACCCCATCCTCTCCATGACCCATCTCGGTCTCCCTGCAGTGGAGACAGGTCATGTTTGAGGGGAAAGTCAGGCATCTGTGCAGGCAGGGCTGGGGCAGGGACGGGCATGGGCTGGCAGCACTGTGGTGCTTTCTGGTGACTCATGAAGAACCCTTCCTCTGGCCTACAAGGCAGAGTCATACTCCCTCGAGGAGCGGTGGCAGGCTGGTGGGCGGGGGCTGACTCCCTCGCCCGGCCGGGCCATGCTTCCATGCAGCACTAAAACCCACCCTGTCTGCTGTCATGTGCCCTAAGGAGATGCCAACTTAACAGCTGGGGCTTAGATCTGCCCAAAGGTTTCAGGAGACCTAGAAATAGGAAAGAGAGATCATAAACCAGGTCCGACTCAGGCAGCTGTTTGCGTGTCTTTCTACATGTCTGATCTTCCCAGCGCAACCTCTCAGAATCCCACACCTAACAAGGGCCTGACTCCAAAAAGTTCTGAGGGTCTGTCTGCTGACCGGTCACAGAGCTGGGACCACACAGTCCACTTGTCCCCCAGCCCCAACTGAGAGCACCAACTCGTCCCCAGTGATGGATTCAAGCCTCAGGCCAACAGCTGGCTACATTCAATAGAAGCCACCTCTGAAATTACTTGGGACCTGGGCCTGTTGTTACCTGAGGCACCCTGCCCCGCTCCGCCCCACCCCACCAAGGAACTTAGAGTCAGCAGCACTGGGAGAAGTGGCAGGGGTTCCAGCAGTGGAGAACAGCAGACAGGCAGGTCTTCTCGTTTGTAGAAAATGAGGTTCTGCTAAGAAAAATGCAAACGAGGGTGCCTCACGACTGTCCCAATGCTGCCAATCTCCAGTAGGCAGGAGAGACCTGCCACCCAAGGCAGGTGTGGACAGAAGTCTGAATACTTTTCCTACTTCTCCAAAATCTTTTCAAAAGGGACTGGGGAAGTCATGCCCACAAACATTAACAGACCATTTATTTTCTATGAACAGGATTCTTCCTACCTCCTGTCCCTGGCATACTATCTTTGAGATGTATATTTCAACCACCATTACAGTGTATTCTTGTGCTTATCTCTTCCCAAGACACAGAACTTCTCTTTCCTTGAGATGTAGATTAAGCCTTTCTTTAACTAATCTCTTCCCAAGACACAGATCTTCCCTTCCAATCGCCGACCTAAGAATTGTGGAACCCACCTATAACCTACAAGCCCTCGCTTCTATATGTCCCACCTTTTTGGGCCAGACCAATGGAAAATCTTTTCACTAAATGTTGTCTGTCAATCTCAAAAACAAATAAAAGGAACCTCTGT